TTTTGTCCATTTCGTTTAGCTTATCTAATTTTTGGCATACAATTGCTCTTAGTGTTTCCTCATAATCCTTTTTATTTCTGTAAGGTTAGTAGTACAGTCCCTCCTTTCATTTCTGACTTTAGTAATCTGAATATTCTCTTACTGCTTTGTTCAGTCTAGCTGAAGATTTGTCAATCTTGTTGATCTTTTCAAAGAAACAGCTTTTATTTTTTCCTGCTGTTCCCTATTCTCCATCTCACTTATTTCTGTTCTTGTTTCCTTCCTTCTACTTGCTGTGGGTTTAGTTTGCTGTTCTTTTTCTAGTTTCTTAGGGCGTAAGGTTAGGCTTCCTACTTTTCTCCTTTAATACATGAGTTTTATTGTATAATTTACTATATAAGTTTTGTTATGTTGTGTTTTCATTTTTATTCATCTTGAGGCATTTTCTGATTTCTCTTGTGTTTCTTCTTTGACCCATTGGTTATTTAGGAATATGTTGTTTAATTTCCACATACTTTTGAATTCCCCAAATTTCTTTGTTATTGATGTCTCATTTCATTCCATTGTTGTTGAAGGACATACTTGCATGATTTCAATCCTTTTAAATTTATTGAGACTTACTTTATTGCCTAACATATGGTCTATCCTGACAGATGTTCCATGTGCCCTTGAGAAGAATGTGCACTCTGCTGTTGAAGGAAGGGTTCTGTAGATGTATGTTAAGTCTACGTGGCTTTAATGTTCAAGTCTTCTTTTTCCCTGCTGATCTTCTGTCCCACCTAGTGTGTTTAATATAGGGGAAATATACAGCTGACCCTTGAACATCACAGAGGTTAGGGGTACCCCACCCCCCACTGCTGTGCAGCTGAAAACCTACATATAACTTTTTACTCCCCAAAACTTAACTACTAATAATCTACTGTTGCTCGGAAGCTTTATCAATAACAAACACATATTTTTTATGTTATATGTATTATATAATGTATTTTTACAATAAAGTGAACCAGAGAAAAGAAAATGTTAAGAATATCGTTAAGAACAGGAAAATACATTTCTGGTACTGTACAGTATTTACTAAAAAAAGTCTGTGTATTAAGTAGACCTGTACAGTTCAAACCCGTGTTGTTCATGGGTCAACTGTATACACTTTCTGTTTTATAGCACAATGTAAAAATTATGAAAATAAGGGGCCGGCCCGGTGGTGCACTGGAGAGTGCGCCGCTTGGGAGTGTGGCAGCGCTCCCGCTGAGGGTTTGGATCCCATGTGGAGACCAGTTCCCGTTCACTGGCTGAGCGCGGTGCGGACGCAACACCGAGGGTTGCGATCCCGTTGCCGGTCCCCGGTACGGGCGCAACACCGAGGGTTGCGATCCCGTTACTGGTCAGTAAAAAAAGACAAAAAGGGAAAAAAAATTATGAAAATAAGAACGAATGTTAAAACTCATTAGAGCTTTGTTTTTATTCTTACCAATGCCTGTATTAAACAATTTATTGTTATTTATTTATGGCCCTAAGATCATAAAGTAGCTTTAAATTTTGAAATACTAGTTTTCTACCCCACCAAAAAACTAACTTTTAAGCCACTGTTGAAATCCAACTTCATTTTTACCAATGCAGAATCTGCTTCATCAGAGACACTGTCACATTCACTAGAGGGTGGGAAATTTCCTGGGATATAGTCAGCCTTTCCCCTGTGGTCAGCAGTGAGGGTGTTTACTTTTAAATGCTAGTTAGTACTGAGAGAGCTTGGTGGACTGATCCAGCTCATTCAGATGCAGAAATAGTTTGAATTCTCTGGTAGGTCCAGTACCTTGGCCTATTTTCTGTTGCTTTTAACAGAATACCCGAAACTGAGTAATAAACCAAAGAAACAGAATTTAGTTCTTACACTGTTGGGTGCCAGCAAGTCCAAGGTCAAAGGGGTGCATGTGGTAAGGGCCTTCTTCCTGGTGGGGGCTCTGCAGAGGCCCAAGGCGGTTCAGAGTATCACATGGCCAGAGGGCAAGAATGTCCTCATGAGCTAGTTCAAGTATTGCCTCCTCTTCTAATGAAGCCACTAGTTCCACGATAACCCATTAACCCATTAATCCATGAATGGGCTAACCCATTTCCCAAGGCAGAGCCCTCATGATCCAATCACCTCCTAAGTGCCCCACCTTTCAACCCTGCCACATTGGGATTAAGTTTCAACATGAGTTTTGAAAAGGGCATTCAAACCACAGCATCTGGCCTCCACTTGAAAACAATCCTAAACCCCAAGCCACCAAGCAGGCTCAAATCACCCACCCTGCCCCACCGCCCCACCACTTCCACTCACATAGAGTAATAGGCCCACAGATGCCAGAATGGGCTGGACTCCCTGGGCCACTTGTCCCCACCTACCCTTCCTCACTCCAAGGCACAGACAAGTCAAGCTACCTGTACTGGGTTAAGGACCCCAGATGCCTGGATCTCAGCCCAGAGGCTGTGGTTTAATTGGTCTTGTGTGTGTGGCCAGGGCATCAAGATGTTTTTAAGCTCTCCAGGTGATTCGGAAGTGCAACAAAGTCTGATCACCACTGCTCCACACCAGAGTTTAGCCAATTCTCATCTTGCTTTGATTTCAGCAGGTAAGGGTGTTGAAATAGATGGGCACACTGAGCACTGGAGTGGAACACACACTTCCTGGGTGCCAGGTTACCATCAGGCTGTGTGACCACGGGCAAGTCACCTGACTCTTCTGCGCCTGTTTTGTCATACATAAAATCAAACAGGTGTGTGCAATGTCAGAGATCCCCTCCACTCTCAAGTTCTGGGCCTAAGGTGCTCGGATGACTTCTTCACCTGCCTAAGTCTCCCCCTTCCTCTGGATGGCAGGGCTCCCCCTGGCATGTTTGAAAGGCCGTTTGAAAAGCATCTGCTCAGAAATGCCTTCCCACATGTTTGCTGGGGTTAATGTGTCACAAGTGTCTCAGAAGGCCAACTGCACTTTAGGACAGGAAGGACATGGTCTGGGAAAGTTGGTTATGGGGGAGAAAGGGGTGAGTCACAGAGAGACCACCAGATGGGTTCAGAGAGCAAAACTTGGGGAAGTAGATGAGACTGAGCTTTCTGAGGGCAGTGACTGACCCAGCCGATAGAGCCCCGCGTCCTTGGGGTGTCACTGTTTGGTAGGTCCAGTTCTCACACACACCCTCTCCTTCCTTTGAAATTGTAACACTTGTTCACACTAGTGTGAGAAAAATAGTGTGCGAGTGGGTTGCAGCCTCTGAAGTGACCAAACGAGAGGGAGTTGACCAAGCAGCTGGTCTGGCCCTCTGGCTCCAGCTCCCCGGAGGCTGGGTCCGCCCCTCCCTCATTCTTGATCAAGTGCCAGTGCTGGGAGCCGTGGGAGCAGCCCAAGCCAGCACCCTCGGGCACGTGCTGGGACTGGATGTCCCTCAGCGGTCTTCAAAGTTCTGGGTTCTCGTCATTTCTTTAGTCCTCACTGGTCTTGCCAGGGATGTCATGAACTAAATCAGTCTGCCAGAAGACTGTTTGAAAGCTCTATTTATAGTGAATATGTGTAACGTGTACTTTAAAAAGTTTATGGAAAAACAGGACTAAGAGATAGTGAGTCTGTCCATGAACTTTTTGAAGACCTCTCAAATATTACATTAATATTCTCTGTAAAATAAAACCTCTCCTAAAAGTTACATGAGCTACAGAACACATCGAGTGTCCAGAACAGAGCCTGGCACACGCTGCAGTGTAAGTGCTATCGTCACTGTTACCCTCACAGCTGCGGGGCCACGGCTGAGCAGGGGACAGCTCTGGTCTAAGGCCTGAGTGGGTGGCAGTGCCAGCTCCAGCTGCTGGGATAACAGGTCACCGATCTCAGCTCCTCCGTCTTTAAACCCAGGAGCTGGGAAGACCCAGGCAAGAGCATCTGATAAATACAAGACAATCAGTTTATGTGCATATCCTCTTAAACTTTTAAAAACATAAAATGGTGTTTTCGAAAATTGTTTCATAACATGCTTTTTTCACCCAAGATTTTATAACTATTCCATTCTTTTTCAATAGTGGTATATTCTGCTATGTACTGTTGTCTAATTATTTAACCAAAATCTTAGTGATGAACACGTGCTGTTTCCAACTCTTAACTATTAGGAACAATCCCGAGATGAATTTAATTGCACATGTACCTTTATTCTCATATTTCCTGCAGGAATTTATTCCTTAAGATGAATCCTTATAAATGGAGTTGCTGGGTCCAGGTTTTTAATATCTATTTTCAGTTACGGTCCAATTCTCCTCTACAGTTTAACCAATTTAGACTTCCTCCACCCATACGAGGTCAGATTTCCCCTAACCAGCACTGGGCAAGAACATAAGGATTTCCTAGGCAGTTGGGCTTGACTCTCAGGAGTTGAAAGGTGGAAGGTTTGCTTCAGAAAAAGGGGAAGGGTCAAGGTTCAGGTCCCTGTACCACCTAGCCACCAAAAAGAAAAGGGGGGTGGGGGATGGGGCGCAATGTGGGCAATTGCTTAAAGATATAAGGTGTAGTCTGCCACAGTGACCTGGGTTAGAAGCCTGGTCCTACCTAAGTGACCTTGGGCCAAGAGTTTAACCTTTTTGGTTCCCTACCTGTGAAACAGGAATGAAAATATCCTTGTTGCAGGTTTGGGCAGAGAAGGAGTTAAGTTACAACTCCATGTAAGAGAATCTCTTACAACACTGAATTAAAGAAGCAAAGCACAGAAGCCTATCATACAGAGGGCAGAAAGGTCAAAAAGAGGCAGAACTAAGAGATATTTGAGAAATGTTCTCTGAAAGAGAAGCAAGGGGATGACTGACACAAAATTCAGGAAGTGGCCACCTGGGTGAGCTGGGAGGATTTTGGGTTATACTCTAGGTCCTACCCAGTGAGAGGTGTGCAGGTTTTTACTCCATGAAACTGTATAAATGTTTTATGCACATACATATGCTTCACAAAAAAGATTACAGAAAACACCACCATGAGAAACCTCATAAATGAAGATTCAGAGAAACATTTCAAATGTGTTAAGAAATATTAGTTTTATTTAACCAGTTTTCACAGCTGAATATTTATTCTATAAAAACTTTACAGATTGTACAGTTTATATATAGTTCAAACTACTGAACGAAAAAGTAGGTCCCACAGATGCAAAAATACTGTACCAATCAACCCAAGGTAAAGGCAAATTTACACACTGTACAGCTCTCCATGTGACTGGGGAGGTGGTCAGTTCTAAGTATAAACTTCAAAACTGTACAAAAATAAGGGTTTGATTTTACTTCGTTCTTCATACATTCAATATGATTGCAAGCTCAGAAGCCTAACTAATAATAGGCGTCTGTAGTCACGAATCAGTCCCCACTCCTGAAAGGAATGCACACGTCTACGCACACAGGGCACTCTTAGACACCGTACTATACGCATATACTGTATAGACATAAAAGCAGAGACCAAAAACATTAAATGTCAGATATAAGGTAGTTCTTTTTGTTTTGAAAGAAGTTTCTGCATTTAATAGTGTGCCAAAAGAATTTTAACTTATTAAATAAAATATATTCTAAGTAAACCTAAAAATTACACTTTATAAACATAAAAATATTTTTTTGGTGTGATACATCAATCATATCTGCAAATAGAAAACCAAAACTGTATATAAAGTGGTATTTCTCACCCAGCAACAAGAAGCACTTATGTAGTTATTTTTGAAAGGGGTCAGAAAAACTATTTAAAACCAACTAAGCCTAACTTATAACTTAGATATTCATACTTAAGCTATTTAGTGATTCACTAATACTGCAAAACAAGCTTTCTTTTAGAGAGACAGTGGTTTCTTCATGTTAACTGGGTAAGAACTGGACATATTTAAAAAAGGGAGAATCAGCTGATATTTCAGCACGAATCTGAAGTGTATGTTTGGGTGGGGGTATGCACATTGGTGGATTTTTCATCAGAAATATTTATCCTAAAAGATAAGTCTTACTTCTGATTTAGAATTTTCCATCTCTGAGATATTTGTACCTTCTTGGAGGTAAAGCCCAACATCTCAGATCTTTCTGTATCTCAATTTGGGGCAGGGGAGGTAAGGCTGGCTAATATCTCTTTAGAATCTGTTCTAGAAGGAAAAAAAAATGAGAAAAACAAACATTATTCCAGACTTTTCTGCCACCCAAAACCAACAAAACACAATTCTTTTCTTTTTTAATACAGTACTAGCCAAAGAAAACAAAAATTAGAGCTTCCAAGAGCAGTCTAGTGCTTACCATTATACTTTTATACTTGTGTGTATATAAGTATAAAATAATGACGTTTGGACAAAGGAGCTTTGAAGTTATTTATTTTAAAGTTACAGTACTTAAAAACTCCTTGATAATAAACAGCTTGGATGTTTCCAGTACTGTTTCCAAGCATGAGCTACAGGTGAACTTGTTTTAGGCTGTGAAGATGGATTAGGGCAACTTAGAGCCACCAACGTCCTGCTTAATCCAATTCCAGTGTCACTAGCAGGCAGCCTGCCAATCAAAACTCATCAATTTTCCTCTGCAAGTACTTTAACATGGAGTCCATCCCTTGGGCAGAGCCCCAGATTTTCTTCAGGACCTCGCACTCCCTCTCGTTGGCTTGCTCCAGCTCCATCCTCATGTTACAGCGCACAAGGGCTTTGGACTCCTCCAGCACCTGCACCAAGCAACAGCAGGCAGTGAGCAAGGTGTGTGTTTGCAGAAACTGGCCCTGTTTCTCCCCTAAATCTATGCAGGCAATTATCAAACGTGAGTAATTACCTGTTTTTCACAATACATATGAGGTCTAATACATATGCAGTTTGAGTGTCCCTTATGGGAAACGCTGGGAACCAGCAATGTGGTGGACTTTTTCAGATTTTGGAGTATTTGCATGTACATAATGAGATGTTTTGGGAATGTAATCCAAGTCTAAACATGAAATCCATTTGTTTTATATATGTATCTATATGTACAGACTGAAGGTAATTTTACTTTTAATAATTTTGTACATGAAACACATGGCCCGTCATATGAGGTTAGGTGTGGAATGTTCCACTTGTGGCATCATGTTAGCGCTCAAAAAGTTTCAGATTTTGGAGCATTTCAGATTTAGGGATGCTCAACTTAAATAAAGTATATTTCACAATAGATGCTGGATAAATCCTCAACTTCAAAATGGCTATTAATTTCCTTAATGGAGCTGCCAAAGAGAAAAAAAGGCTGTTAAGCTATTTCAAAAGAGAGCTAGGCTGTCTGCACCTGGCGCCTCGGCCCCAGTGCTAGTGCTGGACCAGTGTAGACCCCTGAACTGGACGTCAACTCTGTTGACGATCAATGAAAACGCTGACAATGCCTGCTGGGGGTATTTTCTCAACAGCATTTCATTTTAATAACGAGGATTGTTCACATGTCTGTGAGAGTTTACACAGAAGTGTAAACTCATTAAAGTTATCATTAAACAACATTTCACCCTTTGCCAGATGTAATTTTGTTAGATAATTATTCAGCACATTTATTAAACAAAACCTTAAGCTCACTGTGGGGGTGGGGAAAAACTAAACGTCATTATATGAAAGGGCTTTGGAAACACTAAAGTATTATATAAATGCTGGTTGTTATAGGACATTTTAAGCTACTACGTTTCAGACTGAAGTCCATTCCTTTAATTCTCAGTATGTGCAAAGGGAGGATGTGGTAGTGGATCTGGGACAATGCGAGTGTGGCTTCTGGCGGTACCTCATGTGAAGGTGCCTGCTGAGTGCAAAGGTCCGGAGGACGTGGGAAGCACTGTCAGATCTGACACTGAGCATTTTTTTTTTCCTTTTTGTCTTTTTTACTGACCGGTAACGGGATCGCAACCCTTGGTGTCGCGCCCGTACCGGGGACCGGCAACGGGATCGCAACCCTCGGTGTTGCACCCGCACCGCGCTCAGCCAGTGAGCAGGAACTCTTCCACATGGGATCCAGGCGCTGCTGCGCTCCCAAGTGGCGCACTCTCCAGTGCGCCACCGGGCCGGCCCTGACACTGAGCTTTCTGGAGGAAAAGGTTATGTTTTTTTTTTTTCCTTTTTGTCTTTTTTACTGACTGGCAACGGGATCGCAACCCTCGGTGTTGCGCCCGCACTGCGCTCAGCCAGTGAGCGGGAACCGGTCTCCATATGGGATCCGAACCATCAGCGGGAGCACCACCGTGCTCCCAAGCGGCGCACTCTCCAGTGCGCCACCGGGCCGGCCCGAAATGGTTATGTTTTTAAAAAAGTAACATATGTAAGAGAACAAATTAGACGTACAACTGGGTTACATGAGGCAAGCTCCTTAATCCGAACCATGACTTCCTGGGTGAAGGTCCCAGGCCAGAACACCTGGGAGACCAGGCCCTTGCCACATGCCTCCTGCGCGGTCAGCTTCCGCCCACTGAGCAACATTTCATTTGCCTGAAAGGAAGAAGAATTGATGGGATATGAGATGTGGGGGTAGGCAGGCAGAGAAGACCCATCCCGAAAACCCATCCCTCAAAAATGCACACTGAGGACAGACATTTGAAAATGCCACCATGTTCTCTGTGGCCACTCAGCATAAACCTTGTGCAAGACACAGTCAACTGGGCAGGTGGGAGATAACACACTGGGCCAGTGATTTTTAAAAAATGAATGTGAAAAGCTGATTTTATGATGTTATACAGAATCACATGGACTCAGAAATCCACCTTTCCAACCAACTGAGCTAGCTGGCCAGCCCAATTTGAGGTTATTGACATAACTTCCTCTCCTGCGCCTGCCTTCCTCCTACTAAAGCCAGCTCTTCCCATGTATGAACTCATTTAATGCACAAATGAACCCTGGGAAAATGAACCATAAAGCAAGGCTAGGTAATTTGTAATTTTAAGGATTTGAGCCAGACACTGAACTACAACACAATATTTTCTGAATCTGAGAGAGGCCAAGGGTGACTTGTTCAAAGCATACAGAAAATATGTTCTAATGGCAGTGAATGTTTCTGCTGGAGTATACCTTGGAGGCCACATTTTATTGCTTAGAAATTAAAATAAGAAACGAACAGGACCTAAACGTGTCCAAAAATCACTGTAGTCTGCTCAAGCAGGTCTGACTATAGTTACTTCACCTGAAGAAAGTTAACATTTGTTTTTGTTTTTAAAAATACATATGCATATCTATATGAAATTGATTAACTCCATCCTGGGTTCTAGATCACCTAAGGTCTCAGCACAACGTGTATGGATTTTCCATCACTCAAAAGGCTCACAGATGCTGAGATTGGGGGAAAAGGGGAGATTATGTATCTGACAGACTCCACACTAGCCTAACGTGCCACTTCCTGCCTGTGGTTTATCTTGTACGGTTCATCTTCCTGAAGCCTCCTATGGTCATGAAGAAGATTCGACCATGAGCTTTGGGGGCAGGTAAAACACACTTTGGTGGGCAACTTCTTTTTCCAAAAGAGGCAAAATCACTGTTAGGAAAAGGCCCTGGAGTTGTGAAGTCCTCTCGGCTGACAGTGCCCTACACCTGCAGCTAACCTGCAGGGGAGACGCACAGGTGAGACACACAGACGAGAGCACACAGGACCCAGCTAGCCCAGCAACAACTGTGTGGCTGGTTCACCATCCTTTCAACACAGACAGAGGTGGGACATTAGTGCTCGGGACAGGCTTCACCCAAGAAGGGTTTGCAGGGTTCTCAATGCCCCCCAAAGCGGAGCCTGTTATGTGCACCGAGTCTTGGAAAAGTGATGAGTGTATGAAGAGTTTGGGGATGTTTTACAGAAGCCCTGAACAGAACAGGCCCTCCTCAGTGAAAAGAGGGCCCACTAATGATGAATTTAGAAACTGGCCTCCATCTTCCTGCTCCAGTGACTCAGCGGGAGGCGTGCCATGGGACAGAATTTCCTTTCCTAGACTACACTTCTTGCATTCTCAATGCTCAGTGATGACCACAAGGCTAAATCCCTCAAGTTCAGCAGGAGGCATGTCCCCAGATGCTGCTTCTCTGCCCTGCTGGTCACTTCTATGCACGCTATCTTCTGCCATCGGGAGGTCAACGTGCAGCCTGTCTCCATTTGCTGACTCCCTCAGGCCTGGCCCTCCCCTCTAGTCACCACGGCCAGTCTTCCTCCTTGGAGTCTGGCAGCCCCAGCCCTGCTTGTCACTGAGATGCCTCCCTGCTGGTACCCTTCTCTGTTCCAGATGGTTGGCTGCGCAGGCATTTCTGAATCTACCCCGGGCTATGAATGACAGGACCAGTTCAAGGCTGCTGGCGCTCTCTCAGGTAAACACCGGCAGTGGGGGGACTTAAAACTACAGTCATCAAAAAAACAAAACTATTAAGAAAATTCCCCTGGTAAGATTAGCAGGATGAAATACGCTCAGTTTGTACTGACAGTCAACTCTGTATCACAAATATATGTAATCAATTATTTCAATTAATAAAATAAGCAAATACACTCAATTTGAATGAGCACATTCTCATACACACAATTTTCAGTAGTTCTAAAATGAAAGGTTTTAAACTTCTATTCAAATAACAGATTCACAAATATGCAGTCACTGGGAAGTTTAAAGTGGCAGAATTAACAAGGGACTAAATGTAGACAACCTGCAAAAGTACCTGACGCGATCAAAACAAAACTGTATTTTGTTTATTTTTGGGCAGTTGGCCAGTACGGGGATCCAAACCCTTGACCTTGTGTTATAACACTGTGCTCTAACCAACTGGGCGAACTGGCCAGTCCAACTATTTTTAAACGTCATTATGTAACCATCCAAATGGGAAATGCCAGAGGAAAGGGAAATAGAGTTGTCTTTTAGTTCAGCCAAAACGACTGCATTAAGAGGTACAGTGATGACACAGGCCAGCCTGAGTGGGCAGGAGCAGCGGTGGCAGGGGCTTTCCTCTTACCCCCTCAGACTGTCTCTAAACTCCCCGAGAGTGCGGCTCTTACTGGTGAGCTCAGGTAAGGACGTCAGCCGCGCACCGGGCACCTCTCCAGCCTCCCACCTGAGCGGGACCCAGAGAGCCGCAGGGTTCACTAATGGCGGCCTGCATTCCTATCGTTGGGTGTCCTCTGTGCTTCCGTCAGTGAAGGCTTCTTCAAGTGTCAGAGCCCAGAACACTCATGAGCACACAGGCCCCTGGGGGTGGTCCCTGCAGCATCTGGCCCGTAGCAGGAGCTCCATGAATGTTCACTGGGGAAGAGCAGACCCCGAGGCTAATTTGCACAGCCTGCCCGCGCCTGCAGCACACGCCCTGGAGGAGAGAGCTTGCACAGCTCAGTTCACCCATGTGCGCTTTTTATCCCACCACCATGACCCCTGTGGCTTCTCTTCCTTGCAGTTCTGTGCATACCAACTGGGCAAAACCAGGCTAGCATCAGCTCTGCCTCAGGCTGCAGAAAGCTCCAATACACCAAAAGCTCATGAGAGGAACTACATTACTAGGTAGTCGCTTCCAACTAGAGCTGTCACAGTACAAGTCACCTCAACAGCTTTTGTTCACTTTCTGTAGAGGCTCAACCCCCATTCACGAGGTATGGGACGGTCACTGCATGAGGCGTGAGTGCCTTGCTCTTGCTCAAGAGCATGGCTGCCCACCCCGGGCACGGGAGGGCTTGTGGCCAGGCAGTTCTTTGCTTGGGGTGTCCTGGGTGCTGTTGGAGGCTGAGCAGCACCCCTGGCCTCCACTGACTAGCACCTCCTCAGCAGTGACAACTAAACCGTCTCTGGACACTACCATGTGTCCCCCAATGTGCGGGTGGGGCGATGAGAACAGGTGTTCAAGTGGTACCATTCGGTCCAAGAGGATGCAAAAAGCACCCATTTGTTGAGGCCTGTCGCAAGAGCAGCCTTCATTCTGCAGTGACGTCAGGAATTTATGGGTCTCCCTGAGCAGTGACCTCTAAGACCTCCACTCCCAAGCAGTATTTGGCCCAAAGGCTCTTCTTCCCAATGTCTTTGCCTGAAATGTGTTTGAACGTCAAGTCTGTTTAACATTTTCCCCAGATCTGCCCCTCCTGTGGGTCTGACTGACATCACACATCTATGTAGCCACACAGTGAGAGAGGGCATGTTTCCATCTCCTCTGGAGAAACAACTCCATATGAGTTCAGGGTGATGTTACCGATAACGATTCTCTGCAGAACAGGCAGTAACTAGTAGGAAACTATTTTACAGTAATAACTGAAAATGAACTTGAAGTAACTTTACTGATGATAACAAGTGCTGTGTTGGGTGGGTGCAGGACGGTGAAAAGAACAAGACAAGAGACTTGGACACGTACCCCATGTCTGCATCCTGTGAAACACTGAACACCAACTGGGGTGGATGCAGACACGCCTAGTGCTTGTCGGGGCACCCGAGTCTCTGGGGCCATGCCAATGGCGGAGCGCACCAAGGCTCCACTGTGCCCCCCTCCCAGTCCTGCTTCCTCTTTCCCTTCCATGGACGATGACACATAATCCACCAAATCCTACTTCCCAAATCCATCTCAGCTTCCAGAGAAACCAACTCGTGACAGCTGGGAGTTGGAGACAGGGCGAGGAGAGGGACTGCAGAGCTGGATGTTCCCCAGCTGGCTGGCAACAAGGAACCCCTCACCCGTCCCTGCACTCCTGGGACACTCCTAGAAGCACGGAGTAAATGGGGCCTGGCCCCCAGTTGAGTTTAGAGTGAAGAGCAAAGGCCAGGACTGCTGTGGCCAATGTGGAGGACAGGAAAAGATGCAATGTGGAAGTCACAGCGAGTGCGAGAGGGAGGATGGCAGGGCAGCCCCAGAGCCCTGGAGCAAGGCCGTGCTGTCCACAGTAGGGAAGGATGTGCCTGGAGTACTGACTGGGCCCTGGGAGGGACGAAGAACCTGACTGGCCACAGGGCACCAAATGACCATGCACGGGAAACATCCATCACAATCTGAGTTCCATCAGACCCACAGCGTGAGGTTGGCAGCCACACTGGAGCCTTACCCAGCAGTGGCAGATGCACCTGGTCATCCAGCTGGGGTAGGAGCAGACGTGGATTGAGCTTAGAGGATCAATGACCCACAGCAGGGTGAGTGGCCTGGGTGGCTGGCAGGGCCTCAAAGATTGGTGACGAGCAGGTAAAGACGGGTGTGGCGGTGGGTGGGGAAGGGCAGAGTGTTGTATCACGTTGATGTCTACCAGGGAGCATCCCCCGCAAAGGGGAACTGGGCAACTACGTGAGACAGCTGGTGCTGGCCACCCCAGCGCTAGTGTGACAGACATGTGAACCGAGTGGCCGCATGCAAGGGATGATCAAGAGCACAAACTCCAACTCATCAAGGCTGACTTAGCTACTGTGGCCGCAGGATGCCCGGCCTGCCAGCCAGAGATACCTGTGCAACACCATCCCTGGAGGCCAGTCCATTGGTGACACATGGAGGCAAGCTGACCGTCCTAATAGGGATGGACACTCCTTCTGGGTGTGCCCCACCTCAGGTCCTCAGGCAGCTCCCATCCCTGAGGCTCGTGGAGGGTCAGGGGTACTGGCGTGGGTGCACCTGACCAGCAGACCATCATCACCAGAGAATGTGCAGAGAAGCCAGGGCCGTGTGGTCCTCTGGCTGGGTCACCCATGGCACCCATGGAGGCTACCAGCCTGGTGGGGCAACAGCAGGGCCGGGGTGGGGGCAGCACCAGGTTGGAGGGGCGCTCCATGAGGAAGGGCACCATCTTCCAACGTGTAGTATACACAGTGCACCAAGGACCTCTATGTGGTGCCGAGTCCTCTGGGAAATGGGATGGAAGCAGGTGGCCCTGGTCCTCCCCTGCCTAACTGTAGCAGTAAGTGGAAGAGTGCAGAGACTCTGGCCACAGTAGGGGGCAGTGACCAGGCCCCAGGCCCCTCGGGGGCAGGTGTCCCACCACCGGGAAGGCCACTGGGGCCAGCAGAGGGGGCAGGGCAGGTGGGGGGCAGGGCAGCGTTGAGGCTGGATGTGGTAGCTGCATTCTGTCCTACTAACCTTCCTCCCTCTATTTATTTATTTATTTTAAACTTTCTGTTTTTGGAATAAGTTCAGACAATGAAACAATTACAAAAGTAGAACAGCATTTCCATAAACCCTTCACCCAGCTCTCCCCGCGTTGACACACTGTATAGCATTTTATGGTAATCAAAACCAGAAAATCCTACCGACACCATGCTACTAACTAAACGGCAAACCCCATACTAATTTTGCCTGTTTTCCCACCTGTGTCCTTTCTCTAACCTGGGATCCCACCCAGGGTCCCACCCTGCTTTGAGCTGTCAGGTCCCCACCGTCTCCTCCCATCAGAGATGTTTCCTCAGTCCCTCGGTGTCTCTGAGACCCGCCGTCGTGGGGGAGCGCTGCTCAGTGTCTGCAGGCTGCCCTGGTCTGGTTCTGGTTTGTCCAACACCCGCTCATAAGTAGACCAAGGAGACCTACGTCTAAACAGGACTCCCTCAGAGCATCGCACGGGGCATACCAGGGTCGATACGTCTTGTTTCTGGTGAACCGTGACCACTCACTAAGATGCTGCCTGCCAGGTCTCTCCACTGTAAAGTCACTCCTTTTCCCACTGCAAGTAATGAGAGGATGCAGATACCCTTTTTCTCATTACACTGTGGAGGGTTAGAAATGTTGATTCTCATTTGATTTTTAGAATAGGGTTTTTAGGTAAATACACGTATGGGGCAAAAGCCCTAGGGTAAGAGGTGACAGCCTACAGCCAGAGGGCAACAGCCCGCCTGTTCAGCTCTAATCACTGCTCAGGTATGGGACTGTATACGTTAGTGATTTTAGAGCTGACAGGTGGTTGTCATACCAGTCCTGTTAAGAGATTTTAAGAATTGCTGGGCCGGCCCGTGGCTCACTCGGGAGAGTGCGGTGCTGATAACACCAAGGCCGCGGGTTCGGATCCTATATAGGGATGGCCGGTTTGCTCACTTGGGAGAGCGTGGTGCTGACAACACCAAGCCAAGGGTTGAGATCCCCTTACCGGTCATCTTTTAAAAAAAAAAAAAAAAAAAAAAAAAAAAAAAAAAAAAAAAA